GCTATGTAAAGAAGTACTTTCTAAGAAAGGCAGACATTTTACTAATTACCAAACACCTAAATCTTGTCAAGGGATATGGAAGTTGTAAGACTTTATAAAGCTTACTTCTCTGTAGGAAGTCACCTTGCTGCTTGATCCCACTGAAAAACTACAGTCATTCCCAAAGCATCTTAGATGAAGATTCAGACAAGATTTGCATTTGCAACAAGATCAGAATGACTAAAATACTGCAAATTTACCCCAAAGCATTGGTCCTAATGCTTTTTGGGTATTCCTAACATAGAAACAACTATCTTATTTCAGAAGTGTTGTTAATTTCTGGGAATGTACTTCTTCACCACCAAAAAGTAAATAATTTTTTTCTTCCAAATTGTATATTGCTTTTTCTGTTTAGTAGTCTTAAACACTTTCAGACACCCAATAGAGCTTTGACTGTGCTATACAGGAATATTTATCATCAGACACAATATTGTGGCAACAAAGGAAGCACAAGGCCAAAATTTATTTGAAGACTAATATGCTAGGAACATGATAATATGCACTGATTTCTTCTTCATAGGTTTTGCTGTAATACTATCATAATTCTGAAATACAATTTTTCTTAACAAATTATTTCTAATAATAATTAAAATTACATGAATCAGATTTTCCCTAAATGTTTCATGAATATTTACATTGTACTCAAAATTAAACTTTCAAAATGCAAATAGCACATATCCCAAAATAACTCATTAAGTAAACTATAATGTAAAAAACAACATACCATATGTTGCGATATTTATACATGCCTACGTCAATCTAAGATGGTAACATTGTGAAAACGTTCTGCTTAATATTCCCCTTAAAATACTCCACTGAGTTTATTACTGAGAGTTTCTGAACACAAAGAATAGAGCATCTTTCCTGCAATTTATAATAAATTTACTTTTCTGTGCTATCCAGGCACATAACATCTCAGAATCTTTAAGAGCTACCTTATATAGTGCCATCACATGAGATACAAAACCAGATTTTTTTTGTACTCATCATACTAGATATTCTTGAGCAGGAGTTGCCAGATTTTACACTGTTCTTTAATGGGTAATTATTTAGGAGAAGTAGCGTGAGCCTGTGGTTAAAGAATGGTGTTTGGATAAGGCATTCTGTCTTTAATTACTGGCTTTGTCATAAACTTTACCTCTAACTCTGAGCAAGCCCTTCTGCCTCAGTTTTCCACATCACAGTAAATGGTAACAGTATTTCAGTCACTCACAGGCTTGCTCTGAGAATTAATGAGGGTCCCATGTGCAAAAGACCTGTAGATCTTGACTTCTTCTTCTCACTGTGCACTGATAGGAAAGTGACATGTTCTTAATCTGAAACAGAGACTCAGTGCTGCCCTTCACCAGCACATGGAATTCTCATTTATGTCAACATGAATTGCATTAAATACATTGAGCACATTATTTAGCCTAAAAATAAAGAAAAAAAAAAAGGAATTGAAAGAAACTCCTGGATTCTCCTTGTCTGCTCTTAAAAAGTCTAACAGTTCATGGCAGCAGACATACAATCATAAATTAAAAGATTTTTGATGAGAGGCATGACTTGCTCCCTGGGAATATAAATGAGAATGGAGAAATGTGTATCAGGTCCATCTGTAGACTACATTTAGCTCTGTTGCAAGAGCACCATCATAAAAAACATACAAAATTCAGTCACCATAATATATCATGCTCTGCACACATTTGTCCCAACATAAACCTTGATGGCCTCAGGATTTCAATTTTTCACAAAATCTCCGCTGCACGCCAAGAAAACATTTACTTTTTTTTTCTATGTGAGTACCCAGATTAGATAAAAATGACAGAAATTTAGAATAAAAATCTTTAAATGCCCAAATGTAACACAAGGTAATACTACAGACCACTTTTGCACATATATCTACTGTGTAAGAGTGGAATCAACTAAAGAAGATACGGTTTTTCACTAGAGAGTTAATGTGAGTACACAATTTTAACCTCCTCCTTTGATCTGAAGTAAAAACTGTCCTAGTGCAAAAAGATATTTCTGTTTTTTCTGGAAAAAAAACCCAAACAAACAACAAAACAAAACCAACCCAAACGCAAAACCAACCAAAAAGAAAAAAAAAACCAAAAGAAAAAAAAACAAAACCAAGGAGTTTCTGGTGGGCCACTACCAGTCTCAGGGAGGCAAACATCTCTATAAGAAGCAGGCATGTTTTAAGATTTGCTATTGCTTGGCCATCTACAAACAATGAAACTTGACAGTTCTTTAGGAAGGCAGGCAGGAGCTAGAATTTTGCATAATTACTCAATAACTAATCAATCCAAGGATAACAGCCTAGTAAATTTGGAAGAGGGTAAGTGTAACTGCCTATGTGTATGAACTAGTCATTTATACTGTTAATACTGCCTGTATGCAGCCTTGGTCATTTAAAAGTCTGCCTGTCCCAGTGGTGTTTTTTTACTTCTGGGCATATGCTACTGAACAGCATGAATTCTTGACAACAGAAAGACATCCCTCTCCTGAAGGACAAGAGGATGTAAAAAACAAAAGTGAGGACCAGATCACAATCCTACTGAGAAGTAGCTTCCTGGAGGTATGTATCTTTTCAACAGCAGAAGACCACAGCAGTCGTATTTTGACATTATCGTGCATATTTATGTTCTCTTTTTCTTCATAAAACAGTCAAACAGTGGGTTCTCTAATGTTTTTCTTTCGAGTTTTAGCATTTTTCTAAGCAACCAAGAATTTAGGGCATCTAATTCTTGACACAGGGTATGTACAACTTAAGTGTGCCTTTATACCTTCATTATCTTTCTGCATATGACTTTCTAAAGCACCAGAACACATTGTGTCTTGTGTATACCCCAAATCCTGACCTGCTGCTTTTGAAACCTCTGGCAGACTTCATATGTGTCTTAGAAATTTTATCTTCACTACATTTTGCTCTACTGTAACTAGTCATTCAGTAATGCTGACTCCTGCCTTTTAACATTACTAATAGCTTTGATTTTGAAATGTTTATAGTTAAATAAGCCAAAACTGTTCTACCTAGGTAAATTTCAGGAGAGTATTTACATGCATAATATTTAGAAAAGTATTTTAGCTGCACATCCTCTTTCTAAACCAGTGCTATTTTCACTAAACTAAGCTTTCTAACCCTTATTTTTTTTGGTTGCACTTAATTTCTACCTTCTCGTCATGTTTGTACTTGTCTTAGAAGGGGTGTTTCTAGTTTAGTTTCATCTACTTTCTCAGATGCAGCATATGTTTTAGGTCCTTTGGAGTATGGCATTAACAGAGAAGTGAGTTCAGAATTACCAGTTTAGTACGCCTGACACACAGCACTGTGAAAGCATCTTTACAGTAACCATAGTAGCAAGCATGGCAACAGCACGTCAAAATACACGGGTGGACAAACACATTCAGAAACAGACGTGTGTGCTGGACACAGAGGATTAGCATTAGCTCAACAAGCTATAGGACATGCAACCACAATGAAGTGCATGAAACTAGTAAGGAGAGCACCAGAGAAACACTTTTAGCGCACCAGCACTTTTGACACCAAGAGAGGCTAAATGAGGACCCTTCTGCCAAAAAGAATAAAAGAAACGAAAAGTTTCCCCGGACTGTGGGGCAGTGTTTTTATTAATCCAAAGCTCCTCCATTCTCACTGTCCCTGTCCCTACATGCTATAATTCGGCACGCCCGAGATGCAGAGGAGTTTCTCCGCAAGCACCGCAGCCGGAGCAGCGGGGATGCCCCCCCGCACAGTGCGGCGGGTACTTGGAAACTGAGGGAGAGCTCCGGCGAGGTCGGGGGCTGCGGCCCGGCTACGGACACAGGCACCTGCCCGCACCGGCCTCCGAGCGCTGCCCGCCTCCCGGGAGCCCGCTTTATTTATTGCCTTTCCTCAACCCGAGGGGAGATCTGTTAAAGATTAAATCAGCAGCAACCGCAGTTCAAAGCCCTGTCCCGGGAAGCAAAGGTGAAGATAACGTCCCTGCAGATCGAATCGAGTTTCTGCTGTTGCAATCGCTTTTAATTACCCTCCAAACGGCGTATCATACAGCGATCCTCCAGGCACCGGACCCGGCACCGAGATAGCGAGATACCTACAAACCCGCCCGCTGATTAAAAACCGATTGAAACTTATTTGAAGTCGGGTGTTTTCGGGCAGAGGCTCGGCAGTCCATCGACCCCGCGCGCCTTCTGTCACCACCGGGGGCCGGTCCGGGCCCTCCCGCGGGGTGGCCCCGCCGCTGCCGATGCCCCCTCCCCGACCCGCCGGCGCTGGCTGCCCACACTTACAGGTAGGAGGTGAAGACGCTGAGGTTGGCGGGCACGGCCGTGAGCCCCAGGTCGGAGCAGTCGGCGCGGACGAGCATGCCCTCCTGCTCGCAGCGGCACGGCGCCGGGCAGCCCCGCGGGCGCTGCCCGCTGCCCCGCGCTCCCCGCCGCAGCCCCGGCAGGCAGAAGAGGAGCAGCAGAAGGAGGAGGGCAGCGCGGGACGTCGCCATGGGGCTCGGGGGGTACCTAGAGCTGCGGGTCGGTGGCTCTCATGCCCCGCGATGCGGCGGGGGCGAAACGCGGGCGGCCGCGTAGGCTCGGGGAGCTGCTGCTGCGGCCGCTCCCGCGCCGCTGTCTGTAGTAGCATCTCAGCTTACACGCTGCTTTAAAGCCCTCGAGCCGGCACCGCGCGCCCGCTGACGCCGCCCCAGCCTTGCCCGCCGTAGCGCGGAGAGCCCTGCCCGCGCCGCCGTACGAGCTAGCGGGTGGGGGCGGCCGCGGGCCCGGCGGGCGGGAGGCGGGAGGGGGGTGTGTGTGAGGGGGAGAGGCTTCAGCCCGCCCTCGCTCGTTCGCTCTCTCTCGCCAGCCCGCGGCCGCCGAGCCTCGGGGATCGCCCCTCAGGGCAGGGGTGAGCGCGGTGGACGTTTCTGGAAGGCGGCGGGGCGGCCGGTTGAGCAGTGCGTGTCCCCTCACCCTATCGCTTTGAAGTCAAAGCGACAATGGGGCTGAGGCATTGGGGTTAGCGAGCGGTCTCTGAGGGGGTAGCGCAAAGGCTCGGGTGCTGCTCTGGGCTGGAAAGGAGGTCTAACCCAGGGCAGGAAACCCGCTCATTGGTGAGCGGTCCTAGCTGCTGAGTGCTCGATGGTTCTGTGAGGAGATGGGGATTCATCACTCGCTTCCCTCGCACCGCTCGGTTACCTCGCAGGCTTGCCAAGAGGCTGCAGTTTTCCAAAGGAGACCGGCTGCCAAGGGAAACTGACTTTGCTGCGAGGCTGCCTTTGAGAGGTCTTGAGCTGTCCCTCACCCGGCGTCTTGCCAGAGGTTTCCACTCCTCAGGCTGTGCGGAAAGTGGCCTTCATGCTGCTCTTCTGTGACCGAGTATGCCAAAGCCATTGGTGAGGGAAAGGTGAGGATGGCAGTTTTTCAAACCTTTTTTTCCCCTCCAAATCAGTTCTCAGTGCAAACAAAGTTGACCACAAGCTCCAGACTTGAGCCTGTTTAATAACCCAGTCCCAGCCCAATTCTTGTTTAGACCGGTGACAGAATTGTTGGTCAGGCTACGCAGTGTGCGTTGGAGAGCATTAGTTAAAGGTTTCTTCTACACCGTCTTTGAATCTACAATTAAGCCTGCAATGAGGGAGAGCTTAATGAAAAGACCAGCAGAATGCATGCTTTTATATTCCACCCACTTCATAACCCCTGTTCCCACCCCTGGATCATCATTTGATCCAATCTGAGCTGCAGAAGGACCTTGTACGGGAGCTCAAGTGCTTTATTTAAAATAATAAAGAAATCTGCTGTCTGAATGTTTTGTAAATCTAGGCCTATGTGGCTTCTGGGAAGCTTTTCCCCAAGCATCACCTTATCCTAAGATAATAAAAACAGTGGGTGAAAGCATAGAGTGTCCAAAATAAACGCCTAAGGAGAAAAATTATGCAGGAAGCAGTTTTTATGTACCATGGTGTCTGTCCAGGAGACCTGTTCCACTAAAACCTTTTGATTGTTTCTTACACATCTTACATCACTGTGAAGTAGCAATACTTTCATCACTAAATTTCATGGGTTTCAAGAAGTTCTGGCCTGTGTTGAATAGATACATACTAATGGTTCAATAAATTGTAAATACTTTTACTTTCTTCTGGGGTGAAATAGTTTCTATTAGGCATTTGTACTGCTTGTTGTTAGAGTCCTTAACATGTACTGCCAAAAGACATCAGAATAGCTGTAGTTAACAAATAAGTAAATATTTTTCATAACTGTAGTAAAATTGTATTTATATAACCTGAGCCTATTGCATGCATGTTTTGTTTGTTCTAGGAAGGAAAGTGTATACTGTTTGTTCATTTTATATTGAAGATTTATCAGCTTGCACAAGATATCTGAAGTTAGACATAGATTAATTAGTAGTGAGGTTTTAGCTGTAAAAATATTCCTTTGAATGTTGTGTACTTTGCACTAATACATTTGTTCAGCTGGTGACTTTCTTTGAAATATTTAATGTACTTCTTTCTAGTTTTACTTAAAGATTTTTTGAAAGAATAGTAGCTTGAAGATTAGAAGGATTTGGTAGGAATGGATATGGATAATTCCTACCTTTGTACATTTAAATTAGGCCATACAGTTATTTCCTTTTCATATTTCTCATAGGTCTCTGGATCTCCATAAAGAGAAAAGGAAAAACATCTGTCAGTTTGGTAATGTCTCTTGGAGGTGCTGTTACTGTTCCAAAAGGCCACTGGGACGGTAAAATTTCCTGTAGGTTCTGACATCTCAGCATTATGTCCTGATCACTTGGACTGACACCTATGGTACAGCCACCAGCGATCTTTAGCTTTCACCAAGGTAGTAAACAAATCCTTTCAGGATCTCAGCAGAGTGCTCTCTTGAAAATCTTCCTGTCTTCCTGATACTCAAGTGAAAATAACTGTCTTCTGAATCGATGTATAATGTGACAACCCTCCAATTTATCAGTATAAAAGATATCTTTATGGAATGTTACCTACGAATAAACAAAATGATGTGTTGTATTACATATTGTTAGCACACAAAAAGCATACCAATTCATATGTCAGGAATATATATACACTGATATATATTTAACATGCATCTTTTATATTGTTACTTACAGCATGACAGATTTTAGACCTTATATGATTTTAAAATAACAGGACTGTAAAAAGAAAATTTGGTATCCAAAATACGTACTTTATTTCTGTTTTGTAAGCTTAAACTGGATGAACTGATTTTAAAAAGAGAGTGGCTAAAGCATTTAACAATGGAAACTTATGTTTAATCCTGAAACGATTGGTTGTCCCAGCCAAAATAGAGTTTAAAGCAGAAATATGAAGAGGTCCTGCACTACCAAAGGTAGCAACTAGTACTTAAATATTCAGGCGAGTGCGCTACAGTGCCAAAGTACAGCAACAAAAGACAAGGTAGTTCACAGTTGAATATAGCTTGTTTTTCCCTTTGCTGTCTATGAATGAAGAGCATATTCCTAGAAAGCTGTAGAACCATGCGGTTCGGCTGTGGGGAGAATAAGGCTCTTGTGCAGGGTGGGATTTCTTTTTCTTCCCATTGGGAGAAAAAATTCTTCATTGGATGTGTTGAAGTCATTATGTTGAAAGGGTTCATTAGGCAAGTGTTAAGCTCCACTAGCCCTTAGGCTGTGCTGCTGTAGAGCAGTACTGCAAGTGCCCAGTGACCTGTGCAGAAGGATCCTTTCCTCTTTGCAGGACACCTGATTTGTCCCTTTGTTTTGGCTAGTCCTGGGAAACGGTTTATGTCTTTTAAGATTTATCTTTATAGGGCTTTTATACATAAAACAGAAGGTTATTTATATACTATGTTTGTTTGTTTTCATATTTACCAGTATAGATTCACACTCATTTGCATAATGTATCTATCATGTTTTATTGAGAATCTTTAGCTAACACATGTTAAGCCACGCAGTGTTCTTCAAACCAAGGCAGATAGCACTATTTCAGTTTTATGTAGTGGTAAATGCCGGTACCTGAAATGTAGGATGGTTAGGGCAGGGTCATGCCTAGAACCAGACACAAATACAGGAGTTTTAATTACCCTGGCTTAATTTACCACACAGCTACAGCTTGTCAGTCACAACACTGACATCAACTTGGTTTTGTTGAGGTTTTCATGCTATTTAAGGCATGTGATGTCATTCATCTTAAAAAATCATCTTTTTATGTAGATTCTTTTGTTTGGCACACTGCCACCTCCCTGCACCCTTCCCTCAGCAGTTCCGGAATTGGTGCAGTAGTAGGACCAAGATAAAACATTTGATGTTTAAGATTTACTTGGGTTCACTCTCCAGTAGTTTGAAGTCTGCTGATGGGAAGAACAAAAAAAGCATAAAGATAGTATTATTATTACTGTTACAATGCATACAGTGACAGTTGACTTATCTGTATAATTTTGAATCAAATGCTGACATGAACATTATTTTCAGGCTGAAAATATCTGACTGTAAAGCTTGCAACAACAGTAGAAAAGTCAGGATTAGTCAGGCACATTGTAATAGTAAGGCATTTGGGAAAAGAAATCAGGAAAAAATGTAAATACATAGGATGCAGATTTACTGAATGTTTGTTTGGAGGGAATGGAAGTTGATCATTACAGTAATTCTCTGTTTAGGAAATAAAATCCATGTGTTAGAGTGAAGATGTGGAAATAAGCTGCATGAAGAGACCCTTCTATTATTTTGTGTTTAGGTGGATGTGACATCATTCAGGGAATTACAGCCAGGCTGCAAAACATTAAGTGGGTATTTTACCAACACAGGGACTGTGTGATTTAAGCAATATTTTAAATGATGCTTTTTAACTCTTAAAATTTAGTGATGTGTTATCTTATCCTTGTATATCTCATGGAAAGCCAAGAGAAGAAAGAGGACATGTAAGCTATGTCTAACAGTACTTGAAGGATGAGGAGTAATAGCTTTTATCAAGACAACTAATACTTGAAAACAGACAAGAGCTCTCTTTTTGGCTCATCTGTCTTTTTTTTTTTCTTCTTTTCTTCTCAAGCTATATCTAACTGCCCATTCAAAGCTTGTCTCAAGAATCATATCAAGAGCTGTGACAATTTCCTAAGAACTATGCCAGGTGGGATTGTGGCAGCAAGGCAGGTCAGGTTGACTGTAGACTTCCTATGGTCAGGTCTTTCATACTGTGGTCTTAACTGTGCCTTTTGAGAGTCGGTAAACCATTGCAACAGGTCTCTAAACTGATATGTCCTGGTTTTACACACAACAGAAAAACACATAGTAGGTTTGAACCCAAATGGCAAGTGGGCTCAAATGTCTCTCAGAAAAGATGATGAAAGAAGGATGTGACTTCTGGGAGGCTATGTTGTGATGAATGAATCCCTTTGACCATTTCTGAATTGCATAGTCTTGGGACTCTACTTTCTCACTGCACAAAAGTGAGGAAGTTAACTCTAGTTCATAGAGGGCTGCAGTTTGTTTTTTTTTTACCTTAACACTTGCAAAATGTGAATATGCATGTGGAGATGCATGATGTATTTCTGGGTCCTCTGCGTGCTGTGGTGATCTGCATTCTTCTCTGGGTAAAAGACAAGAGTTGATACATACCATGTGCATGCGTGCAGTCATTTCTTAATTTAGCAGCTCATATAGAAATTCTGTCCAATTCTTTCGTCCTTCCTCTTCTCACTGTGTCTGTGTGGCAAACACCCTGGGGTTCCTGTGGTTTTTGAAGTATATTTGCATGATACTTTATAATGAGAGATTACATTGGTTTTAGTTGTTTGAAGGAGGTCACAATAATGTTTTTTTTTTTCCTTCTTTCTCTTTTTTGTGGTGGTGGTAATAGTTTTAGTCATTTTTGGATCAGCTGCCATGCAAAAGGAAGAAATGTATCTAAGAAAGATGTATGTAATTGTGACAAATTGTCAGAAGGCTTTAGATGTGGTGTAATACCTTGTTTTCCTGCAAATTCCTCCCTCCAGAAGTGGGAGAGGTCTGTATTTTGATTTCTGTCTCTCTGTGCTTGTCTTCTGAGGTGTAAACACAGATTGCAGAGAGAAGGGAAGTAAATTTTCATTAGCAAGACCAAAAGATTTCAAACATGTCTATAATCCTAACATCAGTGCTTTTACTATTCTTGATTTAGGGAAAACAAACAGGTAATGCCTTATAAGACTTAATTTTTCAAGAAGTTTTTGAAAACTGTTTGCATATTTCCCAGTGCAGTATTAATCAACAAAGCCTTTCAGTACATACTTAACTAGAGAAGTGTCTGTGTTTCTGTGGCTTACGTGCTTCATCCTCACTTTGTACAACAGCGATAAACTGGCAGGATACATTACCCACCTCTTCTGACTCTTTTAAGCTGATGCAGTCCCATCTGCAGTAATGTAAAATGACATAAAGGAGGGAAGAAGCAAAATACAGGTCTGCAACCTTCAATACATGCACGAAGTCTCCACCAGAGCCTGCCAGTGACACAGGACCCCTAGGACCCCTGTGTCACAGATGTACAAGAAATGCTGTTTTTTTCTGCATGGGTAGCAATTATGCAGGGTCTCTGCTATAGGTGGAGGAAGGGAACAGATCAAGAATTTGGACAGAGCAACCAGCAAGAAGAAGAAGTGGGATGTTTTGTGGTTGCCTACAGCTGCCAAGGAGTTGAACATAGGAGGAGCTTTAGACAGGGGAGCAAAGGGAGGAAGAATGATTGCAGCACAGATTTTTATAGAAAGATGAGAGAGGATGATTTGAAAGAGCCCTTGTATTTGGAAAAAACAGAATAGGGACACTTGGGACTAACAGGAGGTTTAGAGCAGGGGAATGACATGGAGGTCTTCACAGATAAGAGGAGGGAAGGTGGCCCACAAAAAAACTTACAAGAGAAAGAGGTAAGAACTCTTGATACCTCTAGTGAACTCAGCCAGTTGAAATACACAACTCTGAAGTTTCTATGCCCTTTCTTCTACAGATACTGCTCCCAGTTTATAATCCTGGACCATGAAAGCCAGTATTTCTGTTAATAACTCAGGCCTCTAAGGATTTGGCTACTTTTCTTTAGTAATTACTGAAGACAGTAGGAGATGAGGAGTGAGTGTTTGTACCACCCAAACTTAATCTCCAAGATGATTAAGAGTGATAGATTCTCCTCCAAAAGGTAGTTCAAAGCATCTGTATTAATTATTTTATGCATTTGTGAACAGTTAAATCGAGGTTGTTATGCAAAAGTATCCTTGCATTGATTGTGGTTAGGGATGCTGCTATAGTAGAGCAGAGCCCTGAGATGTTATATGCAGGAAAGAGGAAACTTTGGCAAACAAGGACTAATATGAAAAGCCCAGATTTAGTATATCCTCTTTGCATACATTTTTTGGTCGGCATTTGGCTCAATATATGAGCCCTTGAGGAAGGTGAAACAGAAGGTTGAATGTAAATCAGTACTAATAATTTTGCTTTAATGCCACTTGGAATCTGTCAGAAGCAGCAGCAGTATAGAAAGCAGCATTTGTTCAAGGTTAATTTGTCTCTGAAACATTTCTGTGAACTATGGTAAAAACAGATGGAATTTAAAAAATACAAAGAAAAAGAAAATGACAAAAGGAGAAATCATTGTATTGTATTGAAAAATAATTACTTTTAAGTTTGACCACTTGGAATGGATTTCAAAAACACCAAGTCAAAAGCAATCTTTGTATTTTTTCACTTTAATTTCCATTCTAGGTTTTCCTTTTCAGGGAAGACATTTTCATCTGTAGAACAATTACATACTTAATGCACTTAAGAATAATTATGCAGAATTTTAGAAAATGTTATGAGAAGAAGTCACAAGTGTCAGGTCTGTTTGCTGATGATTTTAGGCAATCTTTCTTTGAACATGGAAACATAATACAATTGAAATTATTTGGGAGAGAAGACGACTTCACAAAGGATGCTGTGTTTCTCATGGGTGGCCATGCAGAATTCAGTTGTCCTCTTACTTTGCTTCAGACTTCAATCCTTCAATCCTCTCCTTGCAGCTTGAGCCATATGCAACAGAAAACAAAATCTGCCCCTTCCATAGTGTCAGAGTTGTACACTAAATTGACATGTATACGTATATGTGTATACATTGTCATTGTATTCAACTTTTTTAGGGCAGAAGCATATTCACAGGTGAATTTGAGTCAAATCAGATACTCTTTATTAAGCTTGTTTGTCCCCAGGAGCCTTTAGAATGCAGTATTTCTATTTATTTACATTTTCAAAATGTAACTACTAATTTTGAGACTAGTAGTTTTTTTGCTGTCCTAACTTCACACAACTTAATTACAAATTGAGAACAACTTTAAAACAGTTTGAAAAGTTAGACTAAATAAGCTATTTTTAAATCCTAAATTCAGATTTACTGTGGTGATCAAAGATTTTTTCTTGTATGTTTTACACTGGAGTTTTAATACTTAGGATTTTCTCTGGTTTTACAGTTGTTCAGCAGTACAACAGCGAAGTTTTTCCCACTGCGTTTTTTAAACCAACCTTTTTCCATGCAGTAAGAACTCATTTAATATTTCTTGAAAATACGTATCTGAGAGACAGCATTAAATTCAACATTAATGTAATTTTTATCATTACATTATTTTGAGGTGTAGAACTTTGGAATAGTCTGGTGAGACTAAGTCTTGTGAGACTAATCTCTTATTATTACTGTGGGTTGATAGATACAAAGAAAACATAACATCAAGTATATAGATATTTCTTAAATACAGCTTATTATTTAATGTGGTCTGTCTGAATAATAGAGGCTTTTGTGATAGTTTCAGTGCATTTAGCATGCAGGGCTATTCTTCCTATTTCATAGAATAATAGAATGGGTTGTGTTGGAAGGGACCTTAAAGATCATCCAATTCCAACTCCCCTGCCATGAGCAGGGATACCTTCTGCCAGACCAGGTTGCTCAAAGCCCCGTCCAGCTTGGCCTTGAACACTGCCACGGATGGGGCAGCCACAGCTTCTCTGGGCAACCTGTGCCAATGTCTCACCACCCTCACAGCAGAGAATTTCTATCTCACTACCTTGCCAGAGTAAAATCTAACAAGTTTAGAATTGTGCTCAGCTGAATTGCCACTGTTCAGAGAAATTTCTGTGAAAACAGACCCATAACACATGAAAAATATGGTACCTTTTATTAATGCTTTTACACAAAGAGTAATTAACATGAGGTGTAATAGAGCTACTTCAAATAAAACCCAAACAACACAATTAGATTTCAGTAAGACATTAAAAGGACACACTACTTTTTGGAAAAGTCATAGGTATATATGTCTTTCTTGTACATTGCACAATTTCTTTAGGACTTTTCATGTGGACAAGGTGAGGGCATGTACTTTTTTTTGCAAGGCTGGAGTCTAAAGCCATGGTTGAACTGGAGAAAATGAAGCAGTAGATCAAGACATTATTCTGACTTTTGGAAAAGTAGTGGCAGAAAAAAAAAGGCATATGAGGCCAAGGGTTAATTAAAAGATTCCTTCTGTATCTACAAGTTGATCTGTAAAGAAGTTGAATGGATTCCCATGCAATTGTGTATTCACACCAAATAATTTTTTTACTGCTTACTATTGGAAGGTGTGGGTTTTATTTTTTGTTTTGCCAAAAGCCTCACACTCAAAAGCGCTCACACCCAAGATACATGTACTTCTGCTTGGACTAAAACCGGCTTGGCTACCATCTCTTAAACCCTCTTGCCTTTACCTGCGCTGTAGCTCCGCTCCTGATGTTGCCTTGAAGCGCTGCTCGCCGGTTTCGGTAGGACGAGACGAAGCTAAAAGCGTGGGCGCCCTCTGCTGGCTGCCGACGTTGCTCGGGGCCCTCCTCCAAGACTCCGTTCCACACGATGGATTCGGGAAGACGCGAGTTGTAGCTTATTTTAAACGATTACACTTTACACACACACACACACAAAAAAAAAAAAAAAGCAAAAAAAAAAAAAGCCAGGTGGATATTAAAATAGATTTAATCTAGCCCTTAAAATACAACGGCAATGTAAAACTTGCATTTGAAATGAACAGATGCCCTGAAATAATAGTTTCATAGTGAAACAGCGTCGAATAAACCAGGAGAGAATATAGTGGACAGAAACAAGTTTTTACTTTTTGTGATTTCAAGTACTAAAAGAGCTGGGGAATAGGGAAGTAGGGGTGCAATCTACCCAATCCTAGCTTCTGTGTAAAACTCAACAGAGAACCAATATTTCATTTCTCATTCTTTCCAGCTGCCCCCAGACTCCAGGGCATGATTTTTGCAAGGTGCTTTGATTTTTTTTTTTTCATATCTCAACTGGATTAGGCCTTGAGCAACCTGACCTGAAGTTGGTCCGTGAACTGAAGCTTGTACCTGATAACCTCAGTAAGTCCTCCCATCATACATTGTTCTGTGTTTCTGTCCTAAATGTGAAAGTTTAAACTTGTGAAAAAGATTTTGTATAATATAGCCTTTAATCCCTTGTTCATTTTGACAGGCCTTTTATATTCCAAGGTAGAAAGTGATACTCTACCGGTGTAGAGAGGAGCCTGGATCCATTTTCTACACTGTCACCCTTTGTATGCCAGCAGGCCTTTTCAAGAGGAGAGGTGTAATACAGGTGCAGAATACTAGGCTGCAGATTAGGGAGCTCCTCAGCATTAAAGAAAATGACTGCATGTCCCCTGTGCCAACTAATAGCTATTAAAAAAAGCTGTGGAAAACCGCATACAGCTAATTTCAAGAGGAATCTTGGACACCATCTCTCAGACTGAGGGCTCAAGTGATAGTCTGTGACATGCCTGTGCCATGAGGGAAGAGCTGTATGAAAGTAAGGGAATGCTTTTAACACCCTGTCTTGGTTGTGATCGACGTTTACCCCAGAGCTGTTTGACACAACCATTCACTGCATGGGGGAGAGAATGGATGAATGTGACTATCCATCCTTCCCCAAAGTACTGAATAGTAGTACACAGATTAGATGAAAGAGAAGCTTACAGTGCCAGAAGAAAAAGGGGAATACAATATTTACAAGAGAGAGGCTTTTTTAGAAGCTGATTCAGAGTAGAAGCCATAATCTAAGTATTCTTGATTTTTTCCCCCAGTACACCTTATTTCCTTCTATCAACAATGAAAGCAGTGTAGCAAGTTTGGTCTTTGAAGGCTAAACTTAGCCTTTGTGAATACTTCCTTTCCTTCCCTTCCCTCACTCCAGTACCCAGTGTGATTTTCTCAGTTTTCTAGGCCACGGATGGATATGGAGGTTTTTTTTTATCTGATGAGTCTGAATTCTATGTGAAAAAAATGGTGAGTTCAACTTGCCACAACAGATTTCCATCATCCTGCCATGAACATGCCAGATGAAAGGTTTGTTTGGGCCTGTGTTGTGATTTCAGTTAAGGGTAACTGTCAAAAAAAAGACTATGTTTTTTCCTACTAATATTCAGGAAAACTGCCTCTACAAGCATTATACCAGAATTATTATGAAACATATTTTAAGATGGGCTTTTTCCCCATATACAAAAGACAATTCTGAAGGAACAGTCTGATATTTTTAAGAAACAGGGTGACCAAATCAGTCACACGTGAGCAGTGATGAACTCAGCTACAGTGTTAGTAGATATGAGGAGAAAGGTTAAAAAACATCCTGGTAGTTTCATCTCTGATGATAGTCCTAGTGAGGACACTGTGTCCCAAATTAGTACTCCCAGGTCACAATACCCTTGATTTACTAGGCAGTTTTAAGGAAATAGAAAAAAATCATAATCAGAAGCTACAGAAATAACCTGGAGAAGCCTCATGTGATTCTTTTTTACAAGTTGTGCCTCTATTTTACCCGGAGAAACAGGCATTGAAAATGTCATTGGCAAAACTGTCTTTGAAGTTGGTGTATGTTTTACAGGTTGTTTTGTTCAGTGATACTTGCTGAAAAAGCTGAACCTACTAAGTATTCCAAGGGATTAATGCCAGTATGGCATCAGGAGCACAGTAATGCATGTGCTCCTGACTGTGCCTGTCTTCTAAAGAGTGAAGGAAGGTATGTAGATAATAGTGCCATTCTTTCCAGATGCTGTTGTAATACTTGTCACAATAGTTCTTAGATTTGCTTTGCAGCATGATATATATCTACTTAAAATAATTTTAGTTATTATATATTATCTGTAACTTTTTTATCCTTTTGATACTTAAATGGGCATGATAGTAGTACCCAGAGAAAGGACAATATTCCTTCAGGTTTGTGAACCATCTGCAGCTTCAGCTGTCACCCAGACATTGCCAAGACAACAGAATGCAGATACAGTTATATTTTGTATGATACATATATAGATTTTTAGAAGTCACTGCTTTTATGTGGTAACTTTAGAAAAGCCCCATATAAATAGCATTTATTAGGTAGCTGTGCACAATTCACTTGCATTCAACCCACCGAGGCACTGTTGGTGAACACAATTTACCGCTTTAAACTCTATGCAAGCAAATGAATGGAGTAAAAAACCTGCTTTGGAAGCATCCTCACATTAGGAACTTCCCTTTCCCTTATACCTGGCTTTGAGACATGACAGACGTTATTGGGATTTGAGGGGTGAGGTTTCAAGACTTGTTTTTTAATGCCACAAAAAAAAACCCAAAACATTATTAATTGAGCTCAGATGTAGTTGTGAGCAGTGCAGAGGTCAGCTCACTTTGAGCCAAATGTAAGTTCCTGTACTCATTCCCTTCCACAGTTATCTTAACTCTATAGCTATAGGGGCAAATCTTTCAGTTCATACTCTGTTTTGCTACTTTTAATTTAAGTAAGTGGGAATTTTTTCTCAAAATGGCTATACCATGACACAGAACAGGGGTGTTTATGTGCCTCTGTATATCTATATTGATATACCTGAGCTGGCTTTGAGACAGTAGATACATCTGTCAGGACAATATAATGCTGGGTTAGCTAAGGTTGTGTGAATAGCCAAGGGGCTGCATTAAATAGTACTGCACAGCACAGATGCACTTGAAAATTCAAAGCCATTGCTTGAAAGAAATTGCTTTCTGAAACCAAAAAAAGGGCAATTAGATTTATTTGGCTTTTTATTTTATAGCACATTTTCGGTGTACTAGAGAACAGATTATGCTGTTGATATGAATGCTTGGATTTTCAAGAATTGATGTAAAAATATGAGTATCATTACCCTACTCTCAGTTCTATCTGAGTTTTAGCTTATTTGATCCTATCACAAAATGCAAGAGAAAAAGTCTTCCATATGTTGCCTAATAAATCCTGGGGGAAGCACGCACTGTTCATTAAAATACAGTGTATATTTTATGAAATCTATTTTTTCCTAACTTCATTTTATATTAGGTGTATCTGCTTTACAAGCATACATTCTTTTAAAATAATTTGTTCTGCACGTTATGTTTGCTGTAATAATAACATGGGAGAATGTTTGCTGAAATGGACTGAATTCCAGCCTGTAGCTTGTGCCTTTACAGTCATCAAGTAGGTGTTCCAATTTATGAATAATAGGCTTTATGCAAGCAGGCGGGTGAGCCGACACCACTGGCTTGCCTCAGTAACTTCAAAGGGAAACATTTTTTTTCCAGAAGAGACAGAAACATCACATTTGGAGGGTGAAAGGGTGCACTGCACCCTTTAGCCAAGATAAGGAGATCAGCCAGCGTCTGAGAGCTCTTTTCGTCAAATTATTTAAATAGAAATACAAAGAAAATGTTCTCTAAGTTTCAAGTAGCATGGATAAAGTTACTTATAAGCATATACTTAAAGTGGCCTTATTATTGTTTCCAGATGTAAATTTTGAAACGCAGAAAGGGCAGTTAGCATTTAGGCCCATTAAAAGCAGTATAATTCAGAACTCATTCAGCCTAATATACTCTCCCTTGGACGAGAAAGGGAAGACAGGAATGAGAACCTAATGCAGCTGAAGGCACTAAACATGGATGGAGCCTTAATGTGGAGCTTGGGTAGGATGTGTTACTTGAGAAGCAGCATCTGGTCACATACATGCACTAGCACAAATAATTGGCAGTTTTGTTCTATGTCCAAAAAGAAATTGGAAAAAAGAAAATTATCTCAATCTCACTTTTCTTTTTTTTTTTTAATTATTTTTTCCTTGCCGCATCAGAACTAACATACAGATAGCCGTTTTCAAAGGAGGCAAATGCACATACAGCTTCCCATTTCCCACTGAAATTGAGAGCCTACTCCTCACCTTGCAGGCAGCTCTGAGGACAATTACTGTGAAAGAATTAAAGGTGCCCACTAAAAATGATATATTTTTTCTCCTATTGTTTGCTTCTACTGTGTGCTGAACTTTGCCAGCTTACGGTGCCTGACTCTAGGGATGAGTGTCTTCTCTAGATGACAGTTCTCATGTAATCCAGCAGGCCACTAGGCTCATGGTCTATAGTTATGGACTCCTTTAAGTCTCATGAAGGCACAGGGTTAGGAACCCTGAAGCATAAAAGCAAGAAAGGAACCCAGTGCAGGCCCAAATACAAAGTGGTGCGCAAGCAGGCAGGCCTTAGTAAGCAGCCTGTGGTCTGTCCTTTATGTGTGAGCAGCAGGCAGGCAGGAGCTGGAGCACATGGTGCTTACAGCTCTTCCAAAGCTGGCATAGCTCTTGCCAATATGTTTTATCTGCTTTTCTCTTGCTAGAGAGCCAACATATTTAATGAGATTTGTTGTCAGTCTTGCACAATAATATTTCTAATGGAGCTCAAGCTGCAGACCGTTTTTTACTGGTGATGCTGATGAGTAGGAACTTGAGAAAACCTATTTTGACTTTTACATTTCAGGCCTAGTTTGGAGGGCTGACATTTACAAAAGGAAGCACAAGCATATTTTAATTTATAAATGGAATAAAACTAATACAACATCTATGAGGTCACAGGGAAATAAAAATGCTGAAAGACCACAGTTTTACAAAGGCATATTTTAAAACATAACTGCATAGTAAGATAGGTTTTATTCTGCGCGTTCGCTCAGGACACTGACTGTTTATATCTTTCTCACTACAGAATCCATAGGACCCAATTCTTCTGTGACCCACGACTGCTGTAGTTTTCAAGGGGGTGCCACATGTGAAACTGAGTAACTCAAATTATGGAACCCTTGTAAAAAGATCTGTATAGAAGCATTCCAGCTTTTAAAGTTTGTCCCTTGTTTCTGCGCGTAAATTTCCATGAAGGCAGATTTAGTCTGTAAATGGATGCAGCCAAATGTGTAGGCAATGCATATACATTACTTAACCAAAATAAAATTTTCATAAGTAGAATTTATTTTGGCTTTTCTTAATCCTGACTGTGTTACCATTTCAGAAATATTTAACCAAAAAGCACAAACTGCACTTCACATGAGACCCTCAGGAAGTGCAATAATACACCACAGGAGAAGAGAATAAATCCCATCGATTAATAATTCATAGCATTCCAGTAGCTATAGTAATATCTGCTACTAAATTAATAGAACAAGCAACTTTGCAAAAAGATTATACCAGCACTGGCTCTCCTGTAATCGTTCTTTCTTGGATGACCTTCAGTGTGGGATTTTCATAGAGCAAGCCAGAGGTCGTGACATATCTGACTCCAGCCTTTTGCTGCTTGTTTTATGCAACTATCTACAGAAATCGTTCATTTCTTAAAAATATGATTCTGATGTTAACATGTATCCCACTGAAATTGGTGGAAAGGTTCACAGTGACTTGACTAAGATCTCACTGGTCCCTCAATCACCCAAATACCTGTCTGAAAAAAAGCTGTGTTTGAAGATGCAATTACGGCACTTGCTGGTGCAAAAGTCATAAAATACATGACTGTCAGGCTTCACCTTATGAAAATCTGGTCTACAATGTGAAGGGATAAGGATACTTGAAGGCACTTAATACTCTTCTGATTTAAAGATGACCATGCATAACTCATTTGTGGCTTTATTTCAATTGACACCCTCCACTTTTGTGCATGAAGTCATCCAAGAGTCACAACTAAAAGGGGCATATTCTAAGATGCCACAATTCCTTTGACACCTCTTTAAAATTAAATGGTAAATATAAGTTGCAACTGAGAGAATCTGGTAAACCTGATGCAAAAATATCTAGACTGCTGCACTTCAGATGGCAATAGGCATTTCTGGAATTAAATCTTTCTCAACTAAGCTATTTTTCATTACCACTACTTAGCTCACTAAGCTGAAGATTGCTGAAATTGCATTGAAATGAGGTACCTAATTCCTGAAGAAGCAACCAAAAAAGTGCCCTCAGGGTGAGTAAGAAAGTCCTCTTCTCCTATGTGGGTTCTGCTGCTGGGTTGCAGGAATTTGGAATGCCTCTCCCATCCAGAGCCAGCCTTGTATTTGCACTCAGCAGCCAAACCCTGACTTCTAGAGCAATACCAGTGCTACTGTCTCATTCACATCACAGTATTCTGTCAGGAAGAGAGAAGTAGAACCTCCAGGAGCCCTGAATCACTGGCTGTCATTTCCCCAGATCACTGTGCTTCTGGGAATGCAAAAGACTGCTGTCAGAAGGAAACTGTAAAGTTTGACTTTGCAACTTACCAAGTCAGGGAGACCAGGGCTTCTGAATCACAAAAGCGTACACCTATGCCTATCACCTAGCTACAGATACAGCCTTAGAATAACTGCTTTCTCTGATGGAGGCAGAAAATTATCAAATTATATGAGAGTTGTATTTCCTTCATTTGGGAAAGTGCAGGTATCTTAAAAGCAGAAATGTTTAGTAAGGGCAATAAGAATACTTCTGTCCTTTATACTTTAAAATATTCAGTTAATTCAAATACTGTTTGGATTTAAGAGAACAGGTAGGCTGGTTGTATATAGACAAGGTTTCCTTCTAGAGGATTATGTTGTATTGATTGTAAATTAACTTCATTGTTTCATACAGTTTAAAATGGTTTTCCTTCCTGGGAGACTTAAGATTTTGATGATTCTGTCCGTCCCTTGTCAGGGCAATATGTTGAAATTTGAGAATGGTTATGAACTTAAGTATTGCTTTGACATGTATTGTTCTTTTTGATTGTTTCTAAATATATAATTCATTTTTTAAGGTGTATTATTTGGGCTATTACTGCCTTATATTTTGAGAGTAAAGCTTTGAAAGGAAAACTGACCAAACAGAAAATTAGTCAGAAAATTGGCTAAGTAACTCTTCTCAGTACTTTTGAAATCCTTCCCTTTTTATAAGAAATTCAGTGCGGCTGGCTCACCCCCACCCCTACAGTTTCAGTTTAAATCATTTTGTATCATGGCAAAAGGAGATATCTTAAAATTTTCCATTCAACAACGTTCTGAATCCTGGAGGAGTAAGGACTCATTATTATTTCTTTTGATGTGATGATGGATAGGCAGTCTGCTTTTTCACATTTAGAGTATTATCTGATGGTTAGAAACATAAACATAGTACAATATCTTAAAAAACACAAGTGCCTTAGTTATTTAACAGAAAGAATGAAGAAAAAAAATCTTTTTTTTTTTTTTTTTCCCCAGCATTAACACCATGCAGTCACATTGTAATGATTACATAGGTTTTATACTGGTGACATCGCACAAGTATTTTATCCTATGTATCAATATTAGTTTCCAAAGAGGTTGATTTTTGGGTTTCCTTTTAGACA